TATTTTTATTTTATGTACAATGTTTTTTTAGTTTCTATTAAATTAATATGCAAGGACTGCAATAATTAAATATTTGTTTATTAATGTTATATTATTTTATTAAAAATTATGCTTTTTAAAGGTTAATTTTGTATTTTGTATTGTTCAATTTTGTATTTCAAATATTTATACCAGACTTTGATCATTATAATTAATTTTATCATAGGTACTAAACGTTTTAAACATAATTTAATATAATAATAACACAACTATTTAGGTATTGATGAATAATCATATAATATTAACTTTTTCACTCATAATATTACAAAGAATAAATTGTTAAACTAACTAATGTTAATAATATAATTTAGGTACGTAATTTATGAAACAAAACGGTAAAATTACAGTATACATTTATAAAAAAATTATTTCCAATGCAATTGTCCAGCTGGAGAACAAAAAAATGTTTTATGTTTATCTCGGTATTCGAATGCGCATTTTTGTGCACTGCCTCCTTGCCGAGGGAATGACCTTATGTGACTGGGTAAACTTGTCGAATTTAATGGCAGTTCATGATTTTGAGTTTCTGGTCCATCTTTTTTTATAAAATTATGAAGAATGCAAGTAGTCATAACAATTTTGTCTGCGTTTTGAGGTAACGCTTTAAGACGTCTACAGTCTACAGTAAATACGGAACTTTGCAGTAATTTGTCCAAAAGCATCTTCAATAACTTTTCTCGCCCTTGAAAGCCGTTCGTTGAATACTTTTTTTTCCTCTTAATATTTGGGGACTTGGGTAAGGTCTTAATAAATAATTTTTCAGTGGGAATGCCTCATCACCTATAATAACATACGGAAGTTTCTCATTTGTCCCCGGGAGTTCACGATCACTTGGTACATTCATTTTGTTTTTTTCGAGAGCTTTTCCCATATTCGAATGTGACAAAATACCACCGTCGCTGTTTTTCCCATAGGCTCCAATATCCACAGCAATGAACTTATACTGGGCATCTACTAGTGCAAGTAATATAATGGAAAATGTTTTTTTATAGTTTTTTTATAGCTGTTGGGGGGTGCTTCAATTACCACGTGCTTGTCATCCAGTGCGCCAATGCAATTCGGGAAATTCCATATTTCCCAAAATTCATTGGCTATTCGTTCCCAATCTTCTTTTTTAGGGGCGGGCATAGTCTCTTCTTTCATATTTGAAATAATAGCTTCACAAACTTCTAACACAATAGATTGAACAGTAGAATGACCTAAGCGGAAACTGAAGGAAATTGTTTGGTAAGAATCACCGGTTGCTAAAAACCTAAAAAAAAATCATTTACCAAACTTATTTTTATATTAAGTTGTTTTCTCTATTAAGAATCCTAAACCATGTACTATGGCCAGTCTTGTAAAGTACTTGAGTAAAAGTATTCAAATACTTTTTAAGTACTCAAATACGTATTCTAAATAGATACATTTGAAAAAAGTACTTGGGCGCAGTATTTGAATAGTTTTTTTGAAGTATCTGTATTTAAAATCAAATACTATTTTTAAATACTTTTTTCGTCTTACTTTATTTACAGAGGCACCAAATTTAAATAAAAGAATAAAAATCTGAAATCGTACAATATTTTTATTCTTAGATCGTTCGTCGTTGTGTTTTAGTAGATAGGTATATTGTAATATTTTTAGTAGCCTATACTAGGTATCCGTATCCTATATGGATAAGGTCATTAGGCCGAGGTAAAAGGGTAAAACACATTAAAAAGAAGTAAAAAGTATTTAAAAGTATCTGTAAATACTTTTTAAAATTTTTGTATTTGTACTTAAATACTTATTTTTTCAAGTATTCAATACGTATTTTAAATACTTTGGAAATAATATTCTAGGCAAAACTTTTGATTTGAAAATAACTCAAAAAATACAATTTTGAATCTAATATATTTTCAAAATATATGGCTGAATTATTTTAGTACCTATTGATTAATGATTGTATTACTAATGATGTACTAAAATACGAAAATATTTAATCTAATTGCATTACCTTTGCAAAAATATTTTTGATTTTTACTCAACACATTTTTTAAAAATTCACACATTTTATTTTATTTTTTTTGTAAATTTTTATTTTTTAGTACATATAATTCCGATTTTTTATCTTATTTTATTAACAATTATATAGTAATATAGTAAGTTAGTACCTTCTAATAGTAACTATTTAAGTATAAAATACAAATTAATTTAATAATATATTAATGTGTACCAACCTTAAGCACACTGCCAGTTTTTCCTTAGGTGGAATTGATTCCCTAAATGGTGTATTCTGTTTAGTGATCTTGTCCTTGATTTTCAAAAATAAAACATTCAACTAAAATTTCGTCATACGAAAATATTTAAAAAATTTATCTTCTTGGTCTTCTAGCTGTTTACATAATGTTGCATATTCTCCTTCAATTTTTCGTTTTTTTAATATATCGTGGACCCAAACTGATCTTTTTTTTGCTTTTTTTTAGCCATTTCTATTTCTTGAGCTTCCTCTTCATCTAACAATATAGCCACCATTGCCAAATCAGAATTGGAAAAATGTTTGAACATTGTGAAAAACACAACCTCTCGGTAACAAAATCGCGAGTATAATAAATATTTTATAAGTTTTACAGAGTGAAATTTGGTCGTATGCGTCGTAACGTGTCTGAGGTTGCAGGTTTGGTGTGAATTCATAGTGTCGTTTCCGTGTCGTGTCGTGTCGTACTAGTGTGAATCGGACAAATTATTAATTATTATTTTTGTATTTACCTATTTTGTGTCTTAATATTATTATACTTATTATTCTAAGCTTGTGACACAATTATCAATGAGTACTAACTGTTATGTAACTTATTTTTAATTTGTATATTTAATTTGATATTTTGGTAATTTATATAATATTATAACCTTTTTTTTTTCCAGTTTTGAACCGACGACGCCGCGGGAACTGCTTTCGCATTGCTCCCGCGGCGCCGCCATCGTTTATTTGACATTATACAAATACAAATACACATACATGGTGGGTGGTAGACGGGACAATGCCCCCGACTTACCCCCGTTCATAAATTACATTCAGACATTTGCGTGATCGTCGTCCCTCCGTTTTGTTGATTGGACATCTGTTAGCGTCCAGCAGCCTGCATGGCCCCCTCGTCTTCAGTGTTGGGAAATATCTAGATACATTTATCTAGAAAAGTTCTCTAGGTAGAAATTATTTATCTTTTATCTTTTCTAGATAAATTATTTGTGGACTTCCAAAAAAAATTGTAGTTATTTATATTTACGTAATATTTTGTATACCGTATGCCTATTACACGGGAAACAAACGTTTGGTAAAATGTATTATCATATCAGGTATTCCAAAAAGAATGTTTATTATAAAACTGGAATTTCACATCGTAAATATTGAAACGATCTAAAAGTATAAAATTAAAAATATGTCATGTTACTTAGTAACTTGAGAGGGCAACTAATAATAGCAAAATCGAAAACATCTATCCCTACTGCCCGTATGACGATGGTCGTCTTCATTAGCTGATACTTATTTCATAGAATTGTGTATAAAATGTAAGCAAATAATAATTATCAATAGGTACTCATTGTGTTGAGCCGACGAAAATAAAACAACATTCATGGACACACAAGCATAATATATTTATATATATTATATACTTATATATTTTAAATTTATAATATTGTTGCGGGCCTTGACACTCTAGGCGCCACTGTTCGCTATATAATAACATAGTATATAACATAGCATATAATATAATATAATATATCATAATGTTATTATGGTCTCAAACTAAATATATATAATTAACATAAATATTGCAATATTATAATATAGAATATGTACTATCCGCCCCTATCCATAAATCACTGGACAGGTACACGACTAGAAATCATGGACACGAGTCGCTATTCTAAGAATTGGCAACAACAACCGAAACACACACACATACAAGCTGCACGCGCCGCTACATCAAAGGAACCGCCATCACTTATAGGGCCGGGCCACACATAGCGGTCGAGCCGCAGCGGTTCAACCGCCCAACAAATTCAAATTGTTTGATTTTAAATGCAACCGCCTGATATGCGTTCACACTTACGCGGTTCAGCCTCGGAAACTGCTGCGGTCGAAAAACCGACCGCAACATGTCGCGGTTGAACCGCATGCGGTTGGACCGCCCAAATGATCAAAACACACTGTTTTGAATTAGTCCGTTCACACATAGCCGCGGTTCATTTTTTCAAAGATCATATGCATTAAAAAAAAAAGAATTCAAATAGTGGGGCCTAAAGTTTCTAGTAACTTCCATAACCTAAAATTACACTGTTTTTTTATTTGTAAAAAAACTGATGTTTTAACCCTTAACTTGGCAGAGTATCTTTTAGGATTCATCAAGTTTGTGAATTTTTAATTCAATAATATTTAAAGATATTTTTTATTAGACGTTTTGGATACACTGCGTTACGTATAGTTTGAAAATAGAAAAAAATTTGGTATCACTGTATTAACACAGTATCTAATTTTGTAGGTTTCAGTTATCTGTTTTTTTTATATCATCAGATAGCGTGTGTCGGCGTTTTTCGATTTATGTTTTTAGATGATATTTGTACGTTTTTGATTATATTTTTTCAAAAATAATGTATTGGTAAGTAGTATTGCAACTTCTATTCATAATATAATATAATTAAATAATGTTAATGTATTAAATAAGTGTTCAAAGTATATGTATCTTATAAGATACATCGCCATGAACTGCTCATTTCATTCATTTTATTAACTGTATCCTATAAGATACATCGCCATGAACTGCTCATTTCATTAATTTTATTAACTGTATCCTATAAGATACATCACCAATTACTGATTGATCTAGATATTATATTATTTTATAGATATTCGTTTTCATAAAATATTATAAATTATTTATTAACATTAATAAACTTGTATTTTACATACATTTATCTTTATATTAATTTAGTTAACTTTCATTATGCAACGAAGAAGAACCCAAAAAATATTATCTATGATCCCCCCTGAGAGTAGTGGGAGTTCTGGAAACGAATCTAGTGATGAAAATGTAGATTATGCCTCAAATTATGATTCTTCTTCTTTATCGTCGAACGCTGATGAAAATGAGTTAGATTTACTTTTAAAAGATTTTGAATTGAATCCAATTGATGAAGTAAATATAAATATATTTTTATACATTTTTATAAATTTATAAATATGATTAATTTTAATTTATCCATATTATAATGATAGGTTACTAGAGAATTTTTTGGTAGTATTGATGAAAATATAATTGAAGAAGAAATTTCAACCACTAATTTTTCACCAACTTTCGGGCTAGATATTTTGATGCCAAGTACATCTCGCACTTCTCCATTACCTGAAGCTGAATTTATTTCCCCACAGCCAAGTACATCTGCAGTCATGTCTAGTAAATCTAAACAATCGTGTATTAGAACTTCAAAACGAATTTTAAACTATAATGTAAGAACTCCACCCATTCCTTTACCTTCACCACAACCCTCTCCATTACCTGAAGCTCAGTTTGTTTCTTCAAGGTCCTCAAGAAATTATAAAGTAGAACATATGCAATTTAAATGGAAAAGTGAAAAACAATTTAATTTTGGCGTTGAAATTCCAAATTACGAATTTCATACTAATAATAAAGAAGTGTTGACTCCTTATGCGTATTTCAAACGATTTTTTTCTGATGATATCTTTGATTTAATCGTGCAAGAAAGTAATATTTTTTCTTTTCAAAAATTCGGAAAATCTATTAATATATCTTCTGCAGAGCTATCCGATTTTCTCGCAGTTCAATTATGGATGGGTGTAAATAAACTTCCGGCCTACACAGACTATTGGTCAAATTTGATGGGAGTTCCTAAAGTACAAGATATTATGCCTCTTAAAAAGTATCAAAAAATATTACGGTCTCTTCATTTTCAAAACAATGATGAATGTGACCCCAACGATAGATTTTATAAAATTCGGCCATTTCTTAATAAAATACGTCATAATTGTTTAAATCAAGAAGAAGGAAAAGAAGGAACCCGTTATTCAATTGATGAAATGATGATTCCCTATAAAGGAACCAAAGCTGGTTCACGTAGGCAATATATTAAGTCCAAGCCCAAAAAATGGGGCTTTAAGTTTTTTATAAGGGCTGGAATTAATGGTCAAGTATTTGACATATTGCCATATGGTGGAGAAAGCACATTTACTGATACTCAATTTAGTGAATATGAAAACAAATATTTTGGTTTGGGTGGAAAGGTAATTTTAGCTCTAGCTTCCACGATACCAAGAAAACCTCTTTCAGTTATATACTATGACAACTTTTTCACATCACCGGAACTTATTTATCACTTAAGAAAAAAGTATGGTATTCTTAGTTTAGGAACAGTACAGCAAAACCGCCTGAGAAATTGTCCACTATTAGATGAAAAAATGTTTAAAAAAAAAGGTAGAGGAAGTTACTCTGCAAAATGTGATAAAAAAAAAAATTTCATGGTTGTCAAATGGTTTGACAATAAATCTGTTTGTTTGGCAAGTAGTTATGTAGGAGTGCATCCATTGTCAACTACAAGAAGATATAATAAAACTACAAAGTCTAGAGTAGATGTGTCTATGCCTCAAATTGTCAAACATTATAATTCGCACATGGGTGTTGTTGACCTCGCTGATATGCTTATTGCAATTTATCGCACGAACATGAAAACACATAAGTGGTACTTAAATATTTTTTCCCAATTGCTGGATGTATGTGTTAATAATGCTTGGCTCCA